GATCCCTAAGTGCATTATCTCTCTAAGTGCAGGAAATAAGTTGGGACCTATTCTATAAGTGTAGGTTCTCCCTAATTCTATAAGTGCATGACATTTGTTGGCCCCAAATCTTAGATCATTTCTATTTAAGTACTGCATTATAGAATGTCTACAAAAATTAATAGAACTACATTAATATTAACAAACAAGCAAAAATTGCTTGTTCTCAAGTACAAAGACAGTAACCCTAATGCTACCCATGTAGATGTTGCTCAGTGGGTTAAGGCAACATTTAACTTAGACATATAGACATCAACCCAATGACTACACATGTGAAGCACTGAAGGCATTAGACATTATTTTTTACAACAAAGTCAAGATATGTCAGAATATATTGGCACGATTTCAAAAATCACCAAGATGGTGAGTTACATCGTTTCAGCAGAACAGTTTTTCAACTCTAATACTCTTGATAAAGAATTCCGGTAAATGTTTTGAGTATCTACCGCTTTTTGCAACATTAGTATTACTTCTTTTTTTTAGGTTACATGTTTTAATAGGAGTATACAATAAAGAAAACCATACTATATTTTATGGGGCCAAGAAATACACTCTTGACCTGTATTTAATTGCAAACAATCTTCAAAAAGACAAAGATGTGAAGCACGAGTAGAAATGGAAAACACAGCTGATGTATGCCAGCTTTGAGATTTAGCTGTTTTCCGCCAAAGCTTGGCGCTTTCGACTGATGCTAATACTTATTGACGCAGTTGGTGTCTTTTAATTAGGGGTCTCGCTGTTCATAGCATTAAGCATAGTGTTTACTGAAACCAACACGTTAATATTCGATTAACGATGCTGATTTCGGAATTAATACTTTTTCCTACAGGTGAAATTCTTATTTTGTAGTCTAAAGAATTGTGTTTATTTAATAATGCGGTTTAAAATTTTTTCTGCCAAAAGTATAATACAATGCAACAATTTACTAGTAAAACACATGAAATATCAGTTTTTTCAAGTCACTGGCACTCCATATTTTCTCAAACAAGTGTCAATGCACGTAAGCATGTATAAAATTTATATACGTAATGGCTCCAAAGCAGTTGGTACGGAGACCTTAGCTTCGGTTCGATACAATGCAGATAAACTTTCCAAGTGCACGCCATCGGGTCCAAGCAATCGCGTGCATTTAGAGTTTACTAATGCTTAAGACTTTTGAAATTATTCCTCACTCAAGGCTTATTTTATTTGACTAGGCTAAATCTCTCTCTCTTACAGAACTTTGTGATTGGCGATGGAAGTACTGTATTCAATAGATATATATGAAGCAAATTTACCACTGGAGATTTAATTAATAGATAGTACCCACAGGTCACCAATAATTGATCGCAAATAATAAGAGAAGACCAGAACTTATTTGCATTTCCTCTTTATTCTATATCTGATCGAATACAGTCTCGATAAGTCGGTCAAATCCGTGTAAATTCGTAAGTCGGCCAACAGCTCCAGATGGGCCTTAATTAGATGCAACTCGATAAGTCGGTCTCACGTGGTTTGATTATTCAAATGTCAGTAGAAAAGGCAGGATGCGTAAAGTCATGTTAGTTTAAGTGACAATCAACAAACATGTAAACATAGGATAGAGACATTAGCAAAATAGTTTATTATGATAAATATATTGTTTGTAACTGTTATACTATTAACTATTGCAAACGGATACCTGTTAGCCGCTATTTAACGACTTGGTCGTTCTTAACGTTGCCCGAATCACGCCACGCGCAGGCCAAGTATCGTGTGATTCACGACTCTATACCATTCCACCCACCCGCTAGGTGCCTCTTCGAGGCCGTTAACGAGAACTCGTGACCTACGGAACTTAATCCCTTGGGTGGCACTTTAATTCCACGGAATACAGTCAAGCAACGACGACAGGGGTTAGTCTCAATACGCCATACATAGAGCTTCATTCCTTCGGAACTTAATCCCTTGGGTGGTGAGGAACCCTTCACACACGGAATACAGTTGTCATCACAAACTTGAGACCATATCGAGGTATATCTCAGTATGTATATGTCCAAACTCTTGACCTACAGAAGTTAATCCTAACCACGGAATATAGTCAAAGCAAACACGATCATCAAGAGAAAAAAAAGGTGCGAGGTAAAACAGATATATATAGAGTGCGTCGTACAGGACGCGTGATCGGTAAGTGGTACGAACACTTCTATAACACAAACTGCGGAATAGGAGTTTATTAATAGTAACAGTGACACCTCCATAAATGCAATCCTCCCCTAAATGCAACACTTTGCTCAGTGGGACTTAGTGAATAAATGCAACCCCCCGTTTTCTGCCGTACTAGTAGATTTATTTCCCTAAGTGCGGAAAAATGATCAACACAATGTAGCAGTTGTAGCACAAATTTGTTTCACGTACTAGTACTGTACAATATCAAAGTCAAACATCACTATTCGCGCACAATATTAGTTGTTATAAATCGAGTTTTATGTGTGAAGAGTTGCTATTTTCTTTTTCCAGTGTTTGACTTTTACCCTGTTCACAATAGCTTTGAAACAGCAGAAGGATTATTACTATTATAGTCTGGTTGTGCACGGGAAAGATTCTTTCAGCGTTCGAGTTACATTAAAGAGATTAATGATGATAGTAATGAAACCCCGATAGTGAGTGCTGATGAGGCGTTAAAAAGTTTAGAAAACATAAAGACTTTTCTGATTCAACAAGAGAGAACCAGTAGTTATTTAAAAGCCGTTAATAGTTTGGAGAAATTCATTCGCGAAAACAGGTAATTTAAGGAAACAAGGTAGTATTATACAATTCTTAGTTAACAATTAGGGATATTGATAGCCAAAATATTTATAATAAAGGGAAATCTGTTTAATCGTTAAAATATCTTTCCTAATAAGGAAACCCTCCATAAATGCAAAATGCAAAAACCCCATAAATGCAACGCAGCGCTCGGTCCTGAGGTGTTGCATTTATGGAGGTGTCACTGTACTAATGTGTTACAGTCAACTCTGGCTATACCGGCGCGAGTGGTTTGGCCGTTATTATAAGAGAGACCGGTATATAGAATTGTTACACATGTAGGAATTGTGTAACCACATGATTTGTGTGATAAGGTTTATTATTATTATTATACCATTTTTATTTCGAAGTAGAGATGATCTATTGCTAATGCGGCGATTACTACTTGATATAGAAAAATAAAAGATAAATCATATGAAACAAGGTCGTTTGCAGCAGCATCAACTGACTTTTATATTATCATCACGTTTTTGTTCTAAAAACATCAGCGTGGTCTGAATTGCAGAGTGAGCTTCCCTGTATGAAATGCTTTTCGATAACTTTTCTTCATCATTAGCACAAGCACTATCTGACGATTCATAATCACCTTGAAGAACCAAATTGATTATCTCTTGATCGCTTACTAAGTCCTCAATCGGCAGAAATTCTCTTGCGTCTCATAATGATAGTTAAGAGAATTGGCTGAGTTATGGTTACATTTATCAATATTAATATATACAAATAATCACTTGACTTCGTGGCATAAGTAAAAGCTTTTTATATAATACAAAGTTATGTAACTTGCGCCGGAGCCGTTATAAACAGAGTTATTAAGATTCAGCCGTTATAAGGGATGATATTCCATAGTCATGCAACGTCTGTGCCATGAACACAAAGCCTGCTTTCAGCCACACCAGCAATTTTTAGCCCCACATAACAAATTTTTGAAAGCTTGAACCATTTTCAACTACTCAGATTAGGACGTATGTTGTTTAATGATGACAGCAGGACCAACATTGACACTGCAGAACCCCCAAAATTTTTCTTGGATATTAATTAATCTAACAAGTGGACACAATGCGGCGTTCGTCGGCGTTGGATTCGGTGGCGTTTTGCCTACGCATGATTTGTAATCTATAAAGTATTCTCCATTTAGTATTATTTAAGTTCATTTTTAGGTGAGCATGATAATTTTTGATTTATGACCAATAATAATAATAATAATAAACGGATAAATATTCGATTATCATTTTCGGTAACATGACTATTCTCAATCCTGCAATACTGATTTGCACAATATAAATAGAAAGAATAACCAACAACCTTGTTTGCCAATGTAAGAAGCAGCTAAGATGCAACACACAAGCACGTGTAACATTGTGACCACAGGTATTACGAATAGAGTTAACCCTTATTCCCACCGCCTTCAGGGTCCTTTCAACGACTTTCCCCGAGGCACATAAACTGATGAGTGATTGTTTCTGCGCCCAATCTTCTGCGTCGCATGTGTGTGAACATCCTCGATTGATATAATCTTTAACGTTAACATCCCCCGCAGCACAATCCAAATAGATGTTAAGACACAATGTAACATGTATTAATTATGTGGCATTTCCCTAACCGTACACATTGTGTTACAGACATCCCGTTCTGATCGTGCGAATCATGACCAATATGTCAATACACAAGATTCACACCATTTAATACAATAGTACCTGAATAAATCTCTCCACATGATCACGGTGACCACTCACGTTCATACTCGCAGTCAACCCTTTCCTCTGATGTGCGTTGTAAGATGCCTGATAGGAGTACAACAGTGTCATGTATTTACACTACCTTGCCCGCCATATTTCGAATAGTAAAACACCAATCAAAAGAACAAGTTTACTAATAAACGAAGAACACGCGTTAATAACAACAGTCAAACTAATAAAACATACAAATGATATCACTTCATATTCATCACACCTCACTCGTGTGTACCAGTCAAATCATCCCCACATTAAGGTTCTCTGATTCGTCCATTACGTAAATATGGCATTCGTAACCCCCCGCAGAATTCAATAAAATCAACCCCCTCAACCAGTTATTTGTATTTAGCTTTCATCCTCAATTCTACTTCCCACTTTATCTGTTTTGTAAAACTTCTCTTTTAATTTCATCCTCCATTTTCCTCTTTACAAAAAAATAACTCTACCAAACAGTATAACACAATGAGAGAAATTATTCACTTGCAGACAGGTATGTAAAAGACGTAAAGCGACAATAAAGAACGTCAGCACGTAAAGATCGAACGCTCACTAACACTTACTCCCACGTGTCGTGCTTGTTTACTCTTGCAGGTCAATGTGGCAATCAGGTAACTCTACTCAGATCATCATTCAATACTCGACGCCATTCTACATCACAAAACACGCGTTTTCCTTTGTTTACATATGTTTGCATTCTTCCTCCCTACTTTCTAAACACGCGTCATCCCTATATACAGATCGGTCAAGCTTTCTGGGAAGCTATTTCTGCTGAACACGGATTAGACCCTAGCGGTGCTTACACTGGAAACAATGACTTACAGCTCGAACGTATCGACGTGTATTATAATGAGGGTATGGGTGGTAAATATGTACCAAGGTATGTTAATAATACTAGTAAAAGGACAAAATTTGGAATAGATAGAGGAGGTCACCTATTGGAAAGAACGTTATTATTGACGTGTAAACAAAAACTTGTCCCAAATCTAGAGCTATATTGATAGATCTCGAACCGGTCACAATGGACTCGATCCGATCTAGCGCATACGGTCAGCTTTTCCGTCCTGATAATTTTATCTTTGGCCAATCAGGCGCTGGAAATAACTGGGCTAAAGGCTACTATACCGAAGGTGCAGAGTTGGTCGACGCTATTCTCGACGTCCTTCGCAAGGAAGCCGAATCTACCGACTGTCTCCAAGGATTTCAAGTGACACACTCCCTTGGTGGCGGTACGGGTTCAGGTCTAGGTTCGCTTTTGCTCTCAAAGATCAGGGAAGAATACCCGGATAGGATGTTGTGTACATTCTCGGTGGTGCCTAGTCCTAAAGTATCTGATACAGTAGTTGAGCCTTACAATGCTGTATTGTCGGTACATCAACTGGTTGAAAACAGCGACGAGACTTTCTGTATCGATAATGAAGCTTTATATGATATCTGTTTCCGTACATTGAAGTTGTCTAATCCGAGTTATGGTGATTTAAATCATTTGGTTTCTTCGGTCATGAGTGGTATTACTACATGTTTGAGATTCCCCGGACAATTGAACAGTGATCTGAGGAAATTAGCTGTGAATATGGGTAAGTTTGAGTAGATTAATAGCGTGAATTAAAATCTCTTCACCCCACTGTCTTGATACTAACCATTTAACATTTCGCCTTTCCTTAAAGTTCCATTCCCTCGTCTTCACTTCTTCATGGTTGGCTTTGCCCCTTTAACTTCAAGAAATTCAACTGCCTTCCGAGCACTCACCGTACCCGAACTAACTGCACAAATGTTCGATGCCCGTAACATGATGGCTGCTTCTGATCCACGCCATGGACGATACCTCACCGTGGCTACAATCTTCCGGGGTCGTCTATCCACAAAGGAAATCGAGCAGCAAATGCACGATGTTCAGACAAAGAACTCATCCTTCTTTGTCGAATGGATTCCGAGTAACGTCAAGACTGCTGTGTGTGATATCCCCCCGGTCGGATTGACAATGTCGGGAACCTTTATAGGAAACAGTACAGCAATCCAAGAGTTATTTAAGAGAATAAATACGCAGTTTACCGCTATGTTTAGGAGGAAGGCTTTCTTGCATTGGTATACCGGTGAAGGGATGGATGAGATGGAGTTTACCGAGGCCGAGTCGAATATGAATGATTTGGTTTCAGAATATCAGCAATATCAAGACGCTGCAGGTGAATAACGTTAATGTTAATATGCCATCATTGCAATAGTATTTCTTTTATTAACTTAAATCTCTCTTGTTATATTTAGTCGAAGATGATGAAGATGTTAATTACGAGGGCGAGGAATACGCCGAAGAAGTAGAAGAATAAAAGTCATTTTTTAATTCACAAATTAATTAGACATACAACATATTCCCTCACTTTGTTAACAAATCCCATATGTGTCACTTAGTTCTATTCTTCTTTTTCATCTTATTACTTTTTATTACCCTATTTCTTTTTATCTTTAGTATTTACCCTCACTAACTAGACGGAAAAAAAAGGGCAGTTGTTTCGCAGCTGTTATGATTGTAATGTACTATATCCATAATCTTAGTTAGCGGTTTACTAATTGTGAAGGGTATTTGGCAGTAAAAGTATCGTATATCGTCAAATGTTGACGTTAATCACGTGATTATAAATAATTGCCTGTTTCGGTAATAGATCATTTAACGTTAATGTTAACTGTTTATTCAAGTACTCCATTTCGACGTGGAGCTGATGCTTAGATCCTTCACAAGACTTTGCACTTCTCTATATCCTCAACAGCTTCCGTTCAACTTTCGCGTATGCACATGCAACATCAACTGTGTTCGTAGTCATGCAACCTTAGTCGATCAAGTATCAGCCCCACTCCGTGAACTAACTGCTAGACGCAGACGGCAGAAAGAGTGGACTTATGTAGAGAAGAACGCTTTAGCTACCTTAGTACGTAAATTTGGTGGGGACTGGATACGTATTGCTGCCGAGTTTATCGACAAGACACCAGAGGATTGTTATAAACAATGGGCTAATAATAGGGCTTCCAGTAATGCCAAATATAGAGTAGGAAGACGTTATTACTCTAGTAGGAACAGATGGACAATGGAGGAGAAACAGAAGCTCTTGGCGTTAATATTAAAGTATGGGAAAAAATGGGTGATTATTTCGGAGGAATTTCCTAACCGGTCACCTGCTGCCTGTGCTGCCCTTGCGGTGAAAGATAAGCTTACTATGGTTGTTCCGCCTGATCCATATACGCAGCCAAATCAGACAAAATGGACGAGCAGTGAAACGAAATTGTTGAATCAACTTATAAAGAAACATGGTAGAGATCTGAATGCTATTGCAACTAAATTTCCCGGAAGAACTTTCAAGGGTATTTTAAATTATGTTCGCCGACATATTGATAGACTTCCTGCACTGTGGGACACTGATTCATATTCCTTGCGTGAAATTGATCCACCATGGACGAAAGAGGAAGAAGAATTGCTGATAGAGATGGTTAATCTATTTAACAATGCAGATTTAGTTTCTGGATACTTTTACCTAAAGTCACGGCAAGGTGTCCGTCTAAAAATCAAGCAGTTGTGGGAAGATGGAAGGATATGTGTAGATGGTAATTTTGGTGACAATTTTTGTGACGCTAATGTCGGAAATAGTAACAATAGAAAGAATAATAAAGATGCCGAGACTAGCACTACTTCCGTTGACGAAGATGAAGAATTGCACGATTTTTTCAATAGTGCCGAGTTCTATGAACATTTGCAAGATGTGTCATTACAAACTGATTATATAACAAAGAATGATCCGGCTGCACCATTTGTTAATTGGGAGAGAATGGAGACTGCTAATTTGATACGTCTGTATAGTCAACATGGACCGGATTGGAAACATTTCGCTAAATTATTGCCAGGTAGAACTGCATTTTCGTGTAAAATAAGGTGCTACTCACTCATGACTAGACGTGCAAAGACAAATAATCGCTGGTCGGTCAAAGAGGCTTATATGATTAGAGAGATAGCCAAGCATATCGGGTACAGATGGGATGTTTTATCCAAGTATTTACAAGGAAGATCGTATGCCGAATATGCTTCAAGATGGACCTCGAAGCGGACCGGTATAAGATTTTATGATAAGATGCGATTGTTACCAGAGGATGAAACGAATAGAATAAACACTATCCTTAATCGATATGGGCCTGATTGGGGCGCTATCGCTGAACTCACTGGCAGACATCCTACGCTATTGAAGGCATACGTGGAAATTCACCCGGATCTATTTCCTGCCTCTGCAGCGTTAAAGGAGAAACAATTTTTCAGTAGGAGATATTCGCGATGGAGTTCATGGGAGATTAAACGAGTAAATGATGCTCTTCGTGAACACGGAAGGAATTGGGTACAGGTGGCCTCTAAAGTTCCGGATAGATCCTTATCAGCAGTTAGGATGTTTGTGCAATGTCATAGGGAGCTGTTTTCTAATTATCCGATTAATTATAGACCTTCACGTCCCAGATGGTCTAATGACGAGGTGCAGAAACTGTGCCAGTATGTGACCCAGTATGGTAGAAGATGGCGCGCGGTAGCTGAGTGTCTACCGTTAAGGACGCCGGACGCATGCAAGAGGAAGCACTTTGAGATTAATCATACCGAATGTCTGACGGCTATAATGCTTAGTCGACGACGGAAGATGGACTCTGCCTCCACAAACACAATGTAGATATGTAATAAGCGGTGCTTGTAATTAGATTGGCTTGTGACCACTATACAGAAAACTGTAGTCACGAGACAAACGCGTTTATGCTGATATTATTAATTTTTATTATTAATTCGGTATTAATTGTTACAAACCAATGTCGAGAAATGCTGAAGTCTTACACATTATACTTGTCAATGATACTAATCAATTTTTGACATTCTGCTACACAATCGATTGGGCTAGCAGTATAAATAGTATAACGAACTCTCGTTGTATCCTTGATGTGAGGAGATGAGATTAGTAATCATTACAGAATAGAGATTGGACGAAATGCACGGATACGCTATCTGTACTCACATTGAAGTTGTCCATCTTTGCACGACATCTGAAAATATAGGTCTTAAAATTGGCCTCCATCATTGCAACTGAAAATGAAGTCTCGTCCTCGACCTAGTTTCGAATTATAACAGGAATTCTTAGTGTCTTAATATTACACAGACCAACCAACTCATCTCTGGCTCGAACATTTTCCATACCTTACGCGTATGCAATTCAGTAGCAGTTTTGCCCATTATTTGCGCTCCAACGTCATTAAACGCCTGTAACCACGCCTGCCCCGTATGATCAGCTATACCGATACTTAGGATATATCTATAATCTGGCGAATCGTATGATTTCGAACATTTTTCGCATCGCCAAGTCTTGTCACTCTCTTCAGTGACTTTTTTGCTGTCTACGGGGCATGCGGGATAGCAGAAGTTCTCACTTCGAATGAATATAATCGTACCTTTTACGGTAAAGAAGTCAGGCTAGAGAAATTGAAGAAATCGATTTGATCAGGCATAATTGATGGCAATATAAAAATCGAAGGGGAAAAGAACTCAACTATAAATATTGAACTACTTGCCTTTTCGCCCATGCCGAGGTTTAAGTCTTTAATTTCAGCCAACGTCTTACGCTCGTCCGTATTCTGTCCCGCCGATCCATTAGAAATTCCGACCATACCCGGCGTGAAACTGTTAAATTCTATGGATCCTGCTTTTGAATTGTACCTTTAAATCCACACGATATACAATGTAAATAACCCGCTATCGGAAATTAGATACTTTATGTTTTAATACAATTTGAATTAGACAAACCAATCTCTCAGAGTTTCCGCTTCAGGGATTTCTGGATCAATTTGAAGTATGGCTGAATACATAGTGGTTAAGCTGCGCCCTATTAAAAAGAAAATTGAATATTACAGCATATCCGAGATAAACAGTTTTGAATTTAGGATTATACAGACCTCCGAACTCGTTGATACGAACTCCTTTACACGCGATAACCGGTTCATTGGATCCATCAAATGTCTCTGCGTGTTTCCCCCACAAAGTTAATCTGACCTGGTACATACTCTTGTCGACGATAGTCAATTCTCTTTTTGATACCTGGATATAAACAATTAAGTTCCTGAATTATTCCATTATACCAAGTTGTAGTTAATATTTTACAACATACTAGTTTTTGCGTAGACTTTGATATTATCGAACTCAATCCATGATCTTCTTTTACAACCCCAATAATATCTAGAAGCAGAGAAAACTTTAGTATATACATTAATTAGTACTTTATAATATCTTAATACTTACCGATACTCGAATCTTTCTCATAATTCATGAGCTGTCCAATCTCCACAAAATTATATTGAATTGCCGGTATTGCCGAACCTTCGCACTACATTAAAATCGACATGTTATTATGGAACTCGTGCTATAAGAGTAAATTCATGCAGAGACGATTTAGAGATGTAACGTGCCTGACGGATTTCCGTTCCAGATTCAAATGACAGTTCGTACTCGTGTCGAACATTAGAGAACTGTTTTTTTGCAATATTTACACGTGCTTTACTGACGTAATACGCCTAAGACAATCGTTAGAGTGGTTAAGCAGAGTACAACCTTATGCAGACCAATAGAATGCTGTGATAGAAATCCTGATAGACAGACCTTATTCTCCTCTAACATATCGTAAAATTGATCAACTTGATCATTGAACGCTGTGGCACGTATTTCACCCTACTCAAGTCAAAGCCAACAATTACTTCGACCGTATCATAATTTGATATAGTTAATCTACAGCACCATCAAAACCTACCGATTCGTCCATAAAGGTGACATTAAACAGCTTCCCATCTCCTCGCGCATTGGTCCAGTGTTTTATTTCTGACTTCTGGACCACTCTCGCTTTGATTGTCCATCTTGTAACGTATTAGACAATATCCGATTGAGTAAAACACGCAATATACGCGGCAGTACTCACACTATTCAAACTCACTCTACATCCTTTATACGAATACTTACTTATTTTGGTACGGTGTAATATTCTGTATGGGACACACATTAACATGTTCTGATACAGATGGTTTGGTGGGCGCTGGAGCTGCATTAATTCCTCTGGAAACTCTAAGCGCATTGTTAACGCGAGACTCATCCGTAGGCCTGCTTCCCACATAATCGGGTTGAATTGATTGCAGGTTATGAGACTGGTTACTGCCTAGGGGGTTAGTACGAATGGCCTGCATGACGCGGTCTACCGGCTCTGGAGTGCCATGGATTAGCTCGGTTGTAATATATTCAAAGTCAGTGATGATTAATAGTCTATGGAGAATATAGAGAAGGTGAGAATCGATTGTTAAAATTAGTCGAAATTGTTTGTCAGAAATGTTAATAAATATATCGACCACATATATGTAGTAAAAATATGCTATTTACTTTGTTTTCTGAGCTCCACCCTGATTAACAGTGTACGATTTAAGCCGAAAGATCATTCCTCTTTCTAATTGACGTCTTTGCAACGCCTTTTCAACGTGGATGGGAGATATAGCAGCTGAAGATGGTTTACGACTTTAGTTAAAGTTCTACTATGTGAGCCTATATAAACATCTAACTAGCAACAAACCTGGCATAAAGAGATAACCATCTGATAAGCAGAGCCTTGAAATGCAAATGATATGGAATTAGTCGATTTATTATTAGTTTGATAAAATCACGTCGATTAATTTTAGATGGTATATATCTTTGCAAACTTTTTAAACTTGACTTGTTAAGACTTTATGAGATTCTTTCTCAACTGAATTGACTATGTTATTCTACCTGTATTTACTCTGAGAAGCCCCAGTCGGCAATGCGCTAATAGGCGCATTAATAAGCTGTAAGACTGGTTCATGCGTAAGTACGTTATCCCTTTCTTCTTGCCATATCGCTTTAATCGTCCCGGGTACCAACGGAGAATTCATCATAGTGTTCGTTATAGCTTACGTGATGTTTGTTAGAGAGAATGTTTACGATGAAGTTTGTCAACCGTGTCGCGATCTAGACACATCTTATATGGAAAGGAGCTGCGGTGTCTATGGACGCCGAATTTGTTCCCGTGACCTACATTATCAACCCCTTAATGTGTATATCAAACAATATCTTCTCTTTCCCGCGACATTTATTTAGCATATGGAAGCTGCCAATTCGATTTGAAAAGGGCATTCAGCTTATCCACAACGCAGAACGCGAACGTAACGCGACATGCTTTAAAATTGCAGAATTAGTAATAGTCAGCAATGTAAGCTCTATTTTGCGTATTTTGTCGTCAAATAAGTAGCTCGGAAACTATTAAGGTTGCACGGTATACACGAAATTATTGGAACGATTGGATCTGGTGTCTAATTAAACGAACAATTTCTTATTATATTTCAACATGTTTAACAATTTCGATCTAGCTTTCTCGCAAGGTGTTGAATCCGATTCGTAGGCGATGTTCAGTATCAAATTGACCAACAGTATTCATCAAACAAAGTCCGTCAAGTTGCGTTAAGCCAACATTACACTTTAGTTAATCCATGAAATACTGCATGAAGCATGTTTTTATGAGTTTGGGACGATTGCAAAATCTATTAACATAAATAAAACACAATAAAGTCTATACATCCCAATCGCTGTCTTCGTTACATATTATTTGTATCTCTTCTTCTTTCCTTCTCAACCCCCCCCCCTTTTTTTTTTGGAACTGCTTAACAGTTACGTACGTATCTTTCTGTTTATAAGTAAAAGCGATGACTTTTCTTTCATGTATTTACGATAGGAATGAACAAACTAAGTACAGCTTGAGCTTTGTGCCTGGCTTCGTAGTATAACCAATAAGCTGTCAAGGGGACAATTCGCGGAAGCTTAACAGGGTAAGAACATTTCGTGAGAATTGAACCTTGTTGAGCGTGTTGGATTAGCTACAACTTGATTTTTCCAACGCTCGTTTAAATCGCCAGATGGCTATGAATTTGAAACATTGAATTGCCGGTTAAAAATCGAACATTCATCATTAACGCAGTTTATAAAACTTTCCCGCAAGATATAATATCGCTACTAATTTGTTGTTACGCCTTTTCTAATTAACCAAATTTAACTAGGGGCCTAGCATTAACCTTTGCGTAAAAATGTCTGATAATTTCTGTAGTCATGTGACTAAGTTATTTTAACTCTAATTAATTAGCTCCAAAATGTTGCTTTCTTCAAAATTCAGAAAATTTCTGCGAGCCAGTGATTACTGAATACAATATAGATAATATGATAAAGTAATAACGATATTAATAATATTAAAATCGGTTATCATGTTGTGTATGGTGCAAGGCACCTATTACTATTACTATAGTCATCAAAAATGTAGATCAGTCCGAAATTTTCATATCAAATTCTTAAATTTTATTGGCTAACATATACTGTAGATATGAAATTCGGTGATATTTATCGGCGATAATGATTCTTTAAGCCATTAGCGAAACATTATTAGGTAATCATTTGC